TCACAGCAACCTCCGCCTGTGAGGTTCAAGCAATTCTCCTGCCTCAGCCTCCCAAGTAGCTGGAACTACAGGCACCTGCCATCACTCCCAGCTGATTTTTTGTATTTTTAGTAGAGACAGGGTTTCACCATGTTGGCCAGGATGGTCTCGATTTCCTGACCTTAAGATCCACCCACCTGGCCTCCCCAAGTGCTGGGATTACAGGCATGAGCCACTGTGCTCCACCAAATTCTTTTTTTTTTTTTTTTTTTTTAATAAATCACCCAGCCTCAGGTATTCCCTTATAACAACACAAATAGACTGAGACGGGCTGGTAATAAAGCTCATTAAAGGATAATGAGAGAAGTGTGGGCTTTGGAGTCAGAAACTCCTGAGTTTTAGCCTTGGCTCTGTCACTTGCTAACTGTGAGACCTGGGAAAGGTTATTACATCGCTCTCCTATTTCCTCATCTCTAAAATGGGAGGCTCCTCCTACCTCAAAGGGTTGTTGTCAGACTTGAGGGGGATATTATTTGTAAAGCACCAGCTTTATATGGCCAAATTACTTGCCTTCCTATTCCGTGTTGCCTGTTCCTCTGAATACTCCCAGTTCATCCCAGAAGTGGAGGTGCACAGCCAGGGGGTTAAGCAGCTGGAGTCAGCAGGGGAGAGGACTGGGTTTGAATTCATGCTCTGCCATCTATTTCCTATGAGACTTTGGGCCAGTTACATACTTTAAGGGTGGATAGCAAGATTAAATGAACATGAAAGTGTTTGAAACCATGCCAGGCCATAAGAAACCCTCATTAGCTACTGGGTATTGTTATTTTATAGTAGATGTTCAATGAATGCTAATTGAATCTCAATTGATCCACAGGTGTCTTGGGGATGAGATGGAGGCTCATTCATTAAAGGTAGGTGCCCTTTCCTCCAATAAAGTTCCTAGAGTATTTTCCTTACTTCAAAATTTACACTTTTGCGATAGAAAACTCAAAGGAGTATGGAGGCTAGAACCCTGCTGGTTTGTCCTCAGCTGGGCACTTTTTATGTGATTTACTGACTTACATTTCTCATCTTCATGATCCTAAAAGGAACTTAAAAGTGGTGTATTATTTCATTTTCATTTTTCGGAAAAAGAAATGGCATCAAACAAGACGTTACTCTTTTCCTTTTATTATTATTATTATTATTATTTACAGAGATGGGGTTTCACCATGTTGGCCAGGTTGGTCTCCAACTCCTGACCTCAGGTGATACAGCTGTCTCAGCCTCTCAAAGTGCTGGGATTGCAGGCATGAGCCACCGCGCCCGGCCTTCTTTTCCTGTTATAATTCTTTTCACAAACATCCTGAATCTACCCTACTAAAAAAGAAGCCCCCACACAAGATGACAAGGGAAAAAGCAAGGAGGGGACTTGAAGAAGTGTGGCCTGGTGAGGATTTCAGCCTGAAAGAGATGATCAGTGCCCAGACCAAGGCACAATAGTCTAGAACTTCACTGACCAAACTGTGGTCTGTGGACAACAGCATTGGCAACGTCTGAGAGCTTGTTAGAAATGCAAAATCTGGCCAGGCACAGTGGCTCACACCTGTAATACCAGCACTTCAGGAGGCCAAGGCAGGTGGATCACCTGAGGTTAGGAGTTCGAGACCAGCCTGGCCAACATGGCAAAACCCTGTCTCCACTAAAAATATAAACATTAGCTGGGTGTGGTGGTGTGTGTCTGTAGTCCCAGCTACTCAAGAGGCTAAGGCATGAGAATTGCTTAAACCCAGGAAGCAGAGGTTGAGATGAGCTGAAATTGCACCACTGAACTCCAGCCTGGGTGACAGAAGACTATTCTGTTTTTTTTAAAAAAAAAAAAAAAGAAAGAAAGATTCCTCTGCACTGATTGATAAAAAATAAAAGTAAAATAAAAAAAGAAAGAAGAAATACAAAATCTCAGGCCCCATCCTAGGCCTCCTGAATCAGGATCTGCATTTAAACAGATCTCCAAGTGATGTATTTACACATTAAAGTTTTGAGAAGCCTCCGGGAGGGTGGCTCATGCCTATAATCCCAGCACTTTGGGAGGCTGAGGCCGAGGCCGAGGCCGGCGGATCACAAGGTCAGGAGTTGGAGACAATCCTAGCCAAACATAGTGAAACCCTGTCTCTACTAAAAAATACAAAAAAATGAGCCAGGCAAGATGGCGGGTGCCTGTAATCCCAGCTACTCCGGAGGCTGAGGCAAGAGAATTCCTTGAACCTGTGAGGCAGAGATTGCTGCAGTGAGCTGAGATCATATCATTGCACTCCAGCCTGGGCAACAGAGTGAGGCTCTGTCTCAAAAACAAAAGTTTTGAGAAGAACTTTTGTAATAGATACAGTGGTAGGTTTGAGGTCTGGAGAACTGTGTTCTCATCCTGGTTCAGCCACTCACTGGTTACATTACTTTGACAATTTACTTATCATTTCTGAGCCTCCATGTTTTCATCTAAACAATTATGGAAAATTATAATGTCCTCCTGCAACCTACCTGCTATGAGGATTATTGGAGCATGTGTATTCAGGCAAGAATTTGGAGCATGTATGTGGAAGTGTTTTGTAATGTATTAAGAGCTAAATAAGTACAAGATTTCATTCTTTCCATCATATGCATTTTCTTCAAGTAGTTTCAATGGTTTGTAGGCTGAGAGATCACCATCCTATTCCGCTTTTGACTGAGAGCAGGAGAGTCTGCCCAAATGTGAGCCTACTCTCATTGAAGTTACAATAACTGCACCCAAAGCGTTCATGTTTGGTGAGGATTGTTGTCACTATTTCTCAAGGCTTCTGTGTAGGCTACGACCAGGCAGTTTCAATGATTCAAGCTGTCAACACAATTCCTGGGATACCTGCCAGAGTGATATTTAGGCTATAAAGAACTCCCTGGGATAGTCCAAAAAAAAAAAAGGCGGGGTGGGCTTTGGGCACACGTATCTAGCTCTGCTACTCCTAGTTGTGACCTAGAACAAGTCAGCTTAGTTTTCTGAGCCTCAGTTTCTTCATCTGTACACTGAAGATAAAAATGCATACTTTGCCAGACTTTTGTAAGAATGCTGTAAGATAATGTGTGTAAGCTGGTGCGGTGGCTCATGCCTGGAATTCCAGCACTTTGAGATGCCAAGCTGGGGAGATCACTCGACATCAGTTTGAGACCAGCCTGGCCAACATGGCAAAACCCCGTCTCTACTAAAAGTAAAAAAATTAACCAGACATGGTAGCACATGCCTGTAGTTCCAGCTACTTGTTCCGGCTACTCGAAAGGCTGAGGCAGGAGAATCACTTGAACCTGGGAGGCCGAGACTGAGCCTGGGCAACAGAGGGAGACTCCATCTCAAAAACAAACAAACAAAAAAAAGATGATGATATGTGTAAAGCATCTAATATATCATTTGGCACATAGATGCTCAATAAATGATACTAATATCCATAGTTACTGTTATAGTAAATGAGAATAAGTAAAATGTCTATTATAGATGTCTAGTTTCCCAGTGATCATGAAGTGCTTGTCCTAGGCAAATATTTTGAGCCTGGAATAGCCTGGGAGATATTCAGTCATTGACTCATATATTCAAGTGTTTTTAAACTCTATCTATATGCAAGGAAGCTTTATATAATAGAAAGAGCATAGACAGTTTTAATCTCCAGGGTTCCTCAGTGCTCTAGGATTCTAGAATGTGCCATGTTTTAGTGTAGAGGGGAAGAGAAGAATACCCCAGAGCAGGATCAACCTTGAGTGTCACCAAATCAGGGAAGATTATTCCCTTGCTTAGGGAAAAAGCCAGAACTGGAGGCAAAAAGAATGGAAGAAAAGGGAACATCAGAGAGCCCCTCTTCACAGGGAGAGCAGGGAGTCAAGGATAACTCAATCTCTAGGACAGAGCCCATACCAGTCCCTCACACCAAACCAGGCTAATGCTTGATTTTATATTCTTCGAGCAGCTTGAAACCTACCAGAAGTTGGGATGAGGCCTTTGGCAGTAATCCTCAAACTTTAGGGATATCAGAGTCACCTAGAGAGATTGTTAAATAAACAGATTACTAGGTTCTAGCTCTGGATAGTCTAATTCAGTAGGTTTGGGAATTTGTGTACTTAAATATTTCTGATGCAGGTGGAAGAAAGTCTGCAATGGGGAGTGAAAGCCAGTTCTTCCACCTCCAAATCCTTTTTTTTTTTTGAGACTGGGCCTTGCTCTGTCACCCAGGCTGGAGTGCAGTGGTACAATCACAGCTCACTGCAGCCTTGCCTTTTGGGCTCAAGCAATCATGCCCAACTAATTTTTGTGGGGTTTTTTGTTTTTTGTTTTTTTTATAGAGACAGGGTTTCACCATGTTGCTCAGGCTGGTCTCAAACTCTCAAAGTGCTGGAATACCACCGTGAGTCACCATGCCCAGCCCCAAATCCTATTTTTTTCTATCATCTTAAAGACCCCTAGATGATGGGTGGGTGGGTGAGTGGATGGATGGATGGACAGCAAATAAATGATATTTCTCCCACACAAGTCCACAGGACTATAAATAGGCAATAGAGGCTGAGGCCCTGACGTTGTTTGTCTCTACTGTCTCATTAACTCAGTTCCTGAGAAGGGGCTGAGACTTAGAGTACTGACTGGATGATTCTGGGACACTGATCAAAGCCAGCTTAGCATGGTAGAAAGGGCATGAACTATGGAGTCAGAAGACATGAACTCATGTCTAAGTATTGGTACTCCCTCATTGTATGACCATGTGGAATTCATGACTTTATTAAACTTTTCTTTTCTCATCTGTGTAAAGAAGATAAAAATGTCCAATGTACAAGGTTGTTAACTACTCAAGTATAATAAATATTATCTTATTTCTCCAGCTAAGAACACATCTTCAGTCTCATTCCATTTTCCCTTCTGATTAGAAATCCTTAGGGGTAACTAATAACTCCACACATTTATGTACACATTGTTTTTGGGTACATAGTCTCATTTGAGTCTTTTTTGAGGTAAGTGGGGAGTGTGACTCCTAATTGAAAGAAAGCTGAAGCAATCAGAACATAGAGAAGTGGGGTTCTTTATCCAAAGTCACCCTACCAGCAGCTGAGGAACGAAAGGACTCCAGGACATCTTTTGGTTCCAAGTCCACTGGTCTTTCAACAGCCCCTTGTTACCCCTTCCGGATGAGGGTACTGTAAAATCACATTTGACAACTTGGTAGTGGGGAGAGATCACAGTTAAAATTAAATTGATCCCTAATATTAAAACCATAGATCATAGTGGGAAACATTTTATTTTTCATCTCGTGTATCTGTATCTTGCTGCTTAAGACTGGTTGGACTGAAGGACTCCTGGGAACTCTTCCCTTTTGAATTCATCTCTTCAGTCCATTTCAGGGACTCTTTACCCGTCTGGCCTTCAGAAGGCATTTGCGTCCTGGTTTCTGATAGAGGAGGCTCTGCAAGGGAACAGAGTCTATTTATTCTAACTTGCTCTGTCATCCCTAATGTACTGTCACACAAGTGACTTGCTGTGCGATGCTAGAGAGGAAACAATAAAATGCACGATTAAGAGTGTGGCTAATGCCTCCCAGAGAGTCAGGTTCTCTGGAGGTCACATTTCCAGCGAATTCATTGCCCATGGACGGTTCCCCCATGGCCTTCAGAGGAGCTTAGCTGTGGGATTGCCTGCCTTGCCCTTTTCCAATTTTCTGTGAAGATTTGAAAATTAGGTGAGAAGTGGGGAAGGGGTAATAGAAAAGGTAGCTGGAGTCCGCTCTACCTGGAGCCCTCTGAGGTGAGAATGGACCTACCCTGCCGTTTCCATGAGAGTTGTCCCTCCTAGTCCTGTGGTCCAGCCCTTGCATTAAGGAGCGTGTCCATCTCTGGTTTCTATGACTCAGAATGACCTAGAAAAAATAGATTCCATTGTGCTATTATTGTTCTGATTTTTAAAGTAATTCCCTTCCTGGTTCTCTCCTTTTTGGAGACACTGAAGAATTAGCTTCTTTCTGAGTTTTTTTGTTTGTTTGTTTGTTTGTTTTTTGTGATGGGGTTTTGCTCTTGTCACCCAGTCTGGAGTGCAGTGGCATGATCTTGGCTCACTGCAACCTCTGCCTTCCGGGTTCAAACAATTCTCCTACCTCAGTCTCCTGAGTAGCTGGGATTACAGGTGTGCACCACCATGCCCAGCTAATTTTTGTATTTTCAGTAGTAATGAGGTTTCACCATGTTGGCCAGGCTGGTCTTGAACTTCTGACCTCAAGTGATCTGCCTGCCTCAGCCTCCCAAAGTGCTGTGATTACAGGCATGAGCCACCATGCTCAGCTTTTCTGAGACTATTTTAACACAGCCATTTGACTTGACAAGAATGTCACTTTCCTCCAATCACACAGTCTGAGAATCAGGGCAATACTATCCCCATATTGTCAATAGATGAAGGTGACAGAAATGCAGACGTATTAGTTGGAGTATTCCAGGGAACCAGAACCAATAGGCAATAGATGATAGATAGAAGACAGAAAGAGAGAGAGAGAGAAAGGAAGGGAGGGAGGGAGGGAGGGAGGGAGAGAAAGGAAGGGAGGGAGGGAGGGAGAGAGGGAGAGAAAGGAAGGGAGGGATGGAGGGGGAGAGGGAGAGGAAGGGAGGGAGGGAGGGAGAGAGAAAGGGAGGGAGCGAGGAAGGGAGGGAGGGAGAGAGAAAGGAAGGGAGGGAGGGAGGGAGGGAGGGAAGGAGGGAGGCAGGAAGTGGGAAGAGAGAGAAATAAAGGAAAGAGAAAGAGGAGAGGAGAGGAGAGGAGAGGAGAGGAGAGACAATTTTGCTCTAAGGCATTACCTCACATGATTATGGAAGCTGACAAGTCCAAAATGCTGTTGAAGAGAATTCTCTCTCACTGTGGAAGGGCCACCTTTTTGCTTTCCAGGCTTTTAACTGATTGGATGAGGCTCCCACACCAAGGAGGACAATCTGCTTCACTCAGTCAACAGATTCCAAAATTAATCTCATCCAAAAACACCCTCTGGGAACCACACTTCAGGCTCCTGTGATTCCAGCCTGTTGGATTTGCCTTAAAGAAATTCCCTTACCATCACTTACCCTCAAACACAGACTCCTCCCAGGCTTGAACGGAGAGGTGGAATCCTGACTCCGTCCTGCAGCTAGTGACAGCTGTACGCGTGGCCCCGGGACAAGTGCCTCTAAGATTTCACTTCTTTGGAGACTCCCACTTTATCTCATCCCCAACCCTTGCTACTACCACCATATCCAGTTGCAAGGAGGCAAGAACTGAACCCTGTTTACAGGAAAGACAAAGGTATTTTTCAGGAGCTCACTTGGCCCCAATCCTTGAACGCCGGCTAAAAGAAGAACTCACCCCCAAGGCTGATGTTGAGTAGAGCAAGACCAGCCTAACTGTGGGACAGAAGAAGGTTGGATCTAGGGGTAAGAAGAGTTCTAGCAGAGCAGCTGCTCAGCCCTGAGCAGGCGAAGTGCTCAGAAAGGAGGGCTTTAGACCAGTGGTCCCATCTGCGCAGGCATCACAGGCATCCCTTGCATTAAGACGAGATCAATTAGGAACTGTCTCATGCATCATAAAAGAAATCTGCACTTCATAAAAAGGAGAGTGACTAGAACATTCTCTGAATGGTGACCATCACCACTCTTTCCAAAGCCCCACCCACTGAAAGCACATTCCAGTTTAGGGACAACTCTCAGGACAGCGTTTTCAGGACCACCCCTATGACCCCAGTGAAGTGCACCTCCCTGTTGGATGTCCCAGGAATCTGAGGACACAAGCCAGCCTGCGTGGATCTCAAGAAATGGGATCTGCTAAACAAACCCAGAAGGCACTTTCCATAAGTAACAGCAGAAATGCCATCATGCAAATTGACAAATCGGACCAGCGACCGTAAGGCGGGGAGCAGTGTTTTATTCTTTCCTTTATGTATTTAAGTTTTGAGCATCTCCGTCAGCCTAGGATGGAGTGGAGCTGACAGTGGGGTGGAAGAGATGGTGGGCAAACAACTCAGCCAAGGATAGAAAGTCGAGAGGAGGGAGCTGAAGGAGAAACAGCCAGCGGGAAACAAAAAAGCCGGGACTCTGCGGGGCTTGCTGCTCAGGAGCTGAACTTGCAGCTTTGACAAAGCTGACTTTAAGCCGACCTTCAGCGGCGCTTCCTAGCAATGTACACCGGGCAATCGCTGGTAAATCTTTATTAATTTTAATTGGCGGCACCCATTTATAAGAACCATTAAAAAGGATAAATTGAGCCCATCCGGCGTAATGTCTTTTGTTAATTAGTTTGTCAGCACTGTTTTAATATCCCCTAATGACTTCATATTTCAGACCTGACATTAAAGGAGACGCTGTGAGGAAGGAAATGGTCTTATCACAGTGTACTGTACCGTTTTTCTTTTTTGAACAAAAAGTGTCCTTCCAAATGCTGACCAAGGTTAGATGTCATTTAATTCTCAAAGGTGGGTGCCTGAGGACTTCTGAAGCCCCCAATTCTATCTCCAAGTCCTGCCATCCCATCATTTCTCAATTTTCCTCTTTCTCTTAACCATCTCAGGCATCCCCAAAACACTCCTTCATTTCTTCTTTCCTCCTGCCTTCATTTATTCCATGGACATTTATTGAGCCCCTCAGAACAGGGGAGATGGGATGGCAGGCAGTCAAGCAACATGCAGATATTTCCCAGTAAAAAAGATCCAAAAGCTTTATATTTTAATTCCACTGAAGGACTTTTTTTTTTTTTTTCAAATTCAAAGCCAGCATTTTTCTTTTGGCAGGAAACAAAATACGGGAAGGAAGAGAAAGAAAAACAAATAGATAAGGTGGGCCTTGACTCCTGGTTCCAAACATTTTTGCTCTAATGAAAACCAAAACTGACACCAAGGCAGTCTACCACGGTAGAAGCACAGGTCTTGAGGCAGTGGAGTGGGGAGGGTTGGGGGCGCGGGGGGGGGGGGGGAGAGAGAGAGAGAGAGAGAGAGATCCCTGTGTTTGGATCTTAGGACCACTGCCATGGGCCTCAAAATAAGGGGCACAGGATGATGCTTGGAATGCTGGAAGCTATTTTTTTTTTTTTTCTGGAGATGGAGTCTTGCTCTGTCGCCCAGGCTGGAGTGCATTGGCGCCATCTCAGCTCACTGCCACCTCTGCCTCCACGGTTCAAGCAATTCTCCTGCCTCAACCTCCGGAGTGGCTGGGATTGCAGGCACATGCCACTGCACCTAGTTAAATTTTTTGTATTTTTAGTAGAGATGGGGTTTTACCATGTTGGCCAAGCTGGTCTTGAACTCCTAACCTCATGATCTACCGGCCTTGGCCTCCCAAACTGCTGGGATTACAGGTGTGAGCCACTGTGACCAGCCCTCTGGAAGCTTTTAAAACTATTCACACTGGTCAAATATAAACAAAAAGAAGGAAATTAAGTTGTCACTCTGCCTTGGTCTCTCACTGTCCCAGGGCCAGTGAGACTTGGGGTAAGGAGCAGGGAAGGGGCTTTCGAGAAGGAGCTGAGGCACCCACGCTGGCATGTTGGCCCCTTGCAGTTATCTTTAGCTGATTACGTGAATTTATAGGCAGTATTATCTAGTTTTAACGGATTTGCTCTCACAAAGAGGACAATTAGAAATCATAGCTCAAACTGCAAGTTGACATGAAAAATGACACAGCTGAAACTTCTACTCCTACTACAAGCTCTTTGTCAACTATCTGATAAGGTAAAAATAATGTTGATCTAATCACATCTGACAAGCAATTGGCCAAAAAAATAAAAAAGAGTAAAAAACTATACAGAAGACGATTTGAAATGTGGATTTACATCCACTATTGTTCACAGCAAACTTTGCCCTGAGCATATTCTGTGCCTTGAGATATTAACTAATAATCATGGTACTAACTTATACTTTATGGATAAATAGATGGAAAAGGAGGCCCATACACGCTCAGAAAAAATTACTGACAGAAGAATTATGTGGCTGTAAAAGAGTGCCTGGAGACTGCCCAGGTGGGGGCTCCTGACATAACTCCCCGGATCCTCAATTTTCTCCTCTGTAAAATGGTAATAATTCCGTCTACTTTGTAAGCTTGTTCTAATGACCAGAGCTGAAGCATGTACAGTGCCCACCACGGAGCCTGGCATTGGATGTGCCACACCATGGATGGAGCTATCATCATCATCCTGGTCACCACTACTGATAATTCAGAATATAATTCTGTGTCTCTGCCCAAATCTCATGTTGAATTGTAATCCCCAGTATTGAAGGTGGGGTCTGGAGGTGATTGGACTATGGGGATGAATTTCTCATGAATGGTTTAGCACCATTCCCTTGTATTGGAGGTGGGGCCTGGTGGGAGGTGATTGGACTATGGGGATGAACTTCTCATGAATAGTTTAGCACCATTCCCTTGGTGCTACCTGCCAGATAGTGAGTGACTCTCCTGAGATCTGGCTGTTTATTTTTATTTTATTTTTAATTTTTTTTGAGATGGAGTCTCACTCTGCCACCAGGCTGGAGTGCAGTGTTACAATCTTGGCTCACTATAACCTCCACCTCCCGGAGAGATTCTCCTGCCTCAGCCTCCCAAGTAGCTGGGACTATAGGTACACCCAGCTAATTTTTGTATTTTTAGTAGAGACGGGGTTTCACCATGTTGGCCAGAATGGTCTCCATCTCTTGACCTCATGATCCGCCCGCCTCGGCCTCCCAAAGTGCTGGGTTACAGGTATGAGCCACCGCACCTGGCCCAGATCTAGCTGTTTAAAAGTGTGTGGCATCTCATTCTCTTGCTTCTGTCTCTTGCTCCTGCTTTCACCATGTGATATGCCTATGTCCCTTTGCCTTCCACCATATTTGAAAGCTTCCTGAGGCCTCCCCAGAAGTGGATGCCAGCACTATGCTTC